CTCCTGATTGCTGGGATTAAAGGTAAGCACCACCATGCCTGACTAGAACAGTCTTTACCTTAATTGATGTGGGAAGACCTGGCCTGAAAGACCTAGCCTGAAAGTGGGCAGCACCATTCCCTGGGGTTTGGTCCCTGGACTCCGAAAGAGAAAGGTAGCTGAGCATGGAGTATGCATGCATTTATTTCCCTCTGCTTTCGAATATGGATGTGATGTGAGCAGCTGCTTCAAGCTGCTGCTGCTGTGAGCTCCCCACAGTGATGGACTGTAACTGTGTGCTAAATAAGTCCTTTCTCCTCTAAGCTAGTTAGGGTGTTCTATCATGGCAGCAGAAATGACAGCAGTGTCCTCCAAATCGAAACAGTCCTTTCTGCAGGGAGGGGGAGGAGGGAGCCTTTCCAAGGCTTAGCAAGCTCCCAAGGAGCTGCGGGGAGCCAATTGCAAGTTAGGCAGAGAGCTCCAAGGACGCAGCTTCACAGTGGCCACCAGTGCTGGGATGGGCTTTCCACCTACACGGTTGCTTTCGAGTCCCCCCATGCTCCTGTAAGCAACCCCAATAAAATCACTGGTTTCCTGAGACAGAATTGGGTGGAACTGTTTCTTTGGGTGTCACTGGTGTCCTGTGTGGGTGATTGGACATTTGCTCATGTCTTCTCAGGAACAGTCATGCAACAGTCAAACATGCTCAAAGTGGTTGCCGACATACAAGTATGATGTGACTCACTTCTGAAGGAACGTAAAATACCTTTGGTAATATAGGTTTGGCGTGCATGAGCATATTGGATAGGCAATAGAGCATCTCAGTCTGGGCCCCGCTAATTATGTACATGTCCAAACCAAGAAACAAATAGGAATTGCTGCAGTTTGGACCTTGAATGTTCCCCAAAGATCCATGAGTCAAAAGTTTGGTCCTCTGGGTAGTGGGAACTTTAAGAGGCAAGGCCTTGTGGTCCTTAGGTCACTGGGGGTGTGCTCCTGAAGGGAACTGTGGGGCTCTGGCTTCTTCCTGCTTCTTATTTGTGTTTTGGCCATGAGCTGAGCAGTTTTGCTTCACCTTGTGCTTGCTGCTATGATGTACCGCCTCTTGACAGGTAAAAACCAATGGGGCCAATTGATCATATAGGCTGGAAACTCTAAAAGTCTGAGCCCGTCACCTGTCTCAAAGCAAAAGCACAAAAAGCAAAGAACACCCGTCTTTTCTGTTAGGTATCTTGGGCATTTTAAGTGGTGGAAAACTAGCATTAGGATAAATGTGGTTTGCAAGTCAGGGAGCTTTAATTCTTTTGTGGAAATTATGAGATAGGTCTGATCAATGCTGGGCACTGAGCCAGAGGCTTAAAAATAACTGAGTCGCTGTGAATACTTGCTTGTGTTCCTGGTATGGAGGGCAGGCAGTCTTGGGGAAAACACATAGAGGACATTACAGGTCAGCGGTCAGAGTCTCAAGGTGGATTGCCCTGGATGCATGGGGGGGTAGGCAGCCAGGAAAGTCTCTGAGTCTGGTTGGAGTTCATCTGCAACGCAAGGGCAGAACATGTTGGAGCAGAAGCAGGAAAGACAGGGCAGCAATGGTTCCTGGTGGTTGGGTCCAGGTGGGGCTGGGGAGGCCTAGAGGGGTAGGCAGAGAGGCAGGGGGGAAGGGGGCAGCC